ATGATGGAGTGGCATAGTCCATGCTTGAATCTTTTATCAGCACAGAATGTAGATAGCATCAGGTAACACTGTACTAGAAAGGAGCACAGGCAACAGAAAATACAAAGATGGCACGCACCACAGAAATTCTGGTCACCCATAAAGGTGGGCATCTTTCCTCTCTCTCTACTCATGGACCTGCAGTAGTCCGCTATCTAAATTCTATCTTTAGATCTAGATACAACTTTAGATCTAGCTATTGTTAAGGAACAGCATTTAGTATAGTAAACATGCAAACTATTCTCCAAATGGTTGATTTACAGTGATTAAAACAATTCTAACAGAAAATGCAGATACTAACTTGTACTCTAGTGAAGTGAGCACAAATCTGTTCAGTGTATACTAACTGAACTATTTCATAACAAACATTACCAAATGACCTCCAGGGTGGATTCATTGCCAAGTCAACACAGCTTTTCCTTTTGATACCTCTGGAAATGGAACCTTCACGATACTGTAACTCTCTCCAGATAAAGAAAGTAAGACTCTTTGGACATTTAAAATTTTGTTTTCTTTGGCTTTCATGTAGTGTTAGGATAGGAAAACAGATTATGTCAATTATTTGATTCACATGAAAATCTGAATTGGATTTAGAGAAAAACTTTGAAGGCAACCTTCTTCTGAGAAAAGTAGACAGTATTGCCATTTCTTTGTTCCTTTCAGACCAGCTATATTTAGAAATTGCTGCTTACTTGTTGTGCATTCAATAGTGAGGTCTCACTTAAGAGAAACTATAGTCAATTATGCCCACAGAATACTATCATCAGAGAAAAGCTTTCCACGTAAGAACCTCAGAAATTGCCCAGTTCACCAGTGCCCTTAGAAACATTACTCAAAACACACTAAAAAAAAAAAACCCACAACCAAAAAAAGGCAGGCATAAAAGACAATAAATCAAGAACTTATGATTTTAAAACAGACATTTTATTGACGCTGTTCATCTACTCTGCTCCTGTTCTTCCTTGCCCTTTCTGGTCCAGGAACCATATCAATTGCAGCCTTTTATTTTTCTTCTTCCCCCATCCCCTTTTAAAACACAGACACTCAATCTCAGTTTCCTAGTACAGCATGCTCTGCTTCCTCAAGTATATAATCCAGCCCTTCACCTCTAGTGCAAGCTCTCAAAATGAGTGGGCAGGAGGTATGTGCATTCACTAAACATATCCTCGAGGGTCATATTACCAGTGAACTGCTGGGACCCTGGGACAGACTGTGTCAAAGCAACATGGAGCTAACTTGGTGTGTTAACATGGTGCAAGCAGACTTGCCAATGCCTTAGCTGTCTGCTACAGACCTCATCAAACATGGGTGACACAGGCCATCAGATAACCTCCAGGCAAATCCAGTAGGAAAGACATAGCTGTCTTCTAGGATCATAATGCAGCTTTGGAGACAGCAGGAAAGCTCCAGCCCACCAACAGCCAAGGGGAGAAGCTTTAAACTCCCATTAGCTTGTACGTCACAGAGCGCTGTGCTGTATAAATGAAACCAACACTTCAGTAGGAAAGCAGAAGATAAGAGTTTAATGGGGGATAGAAGACAAAGTATCCTAAATCACTTCAGTAGATCTAGTATCTGGAGAGAACAGATAGAGATAGGTCAAAAGGTGGTGGAGCAGCAGTTGGGAACCAATGATGAGAAAAAGGTAAGAGTAGAGCTCACACCATCATCTTTCAGCAGTGGTCCTGGAACAGGAAACGATCAGTGAGAGTAAGGCATTAGCAGAGCCTCTCCTGGAACTGGCTTCTCTGTCCTTGCTCTCTGCACAGCCTTAACCAGCACCTTTTCTCCCAGCAGCCAACCCTAGCATCATGATCCTTATCAGTCCCTTCCAACTTGAGATACTCTATGAATCCATGATCATCTATGCCCTATCCATTGCCTTCTGGTCTTACATGCCATATGGCAGCTTGGTAACATTCACCCTTTCAGGAGGTATTCCATGACTCTCTCAAGCTGGAGAATGAATGCATTAATGTATCTGCAAGACCAAAGTCTCTGAAAGAAACTATTCAGCACCAATTATTTAAGGAAAAAAAAAACCAAAACAAAACCAAAAACAAAAGCCCAAAAGATTGTGTTGAACTTTCCCAAATTAGTTTCCACTAAGTGGCTTATGTTTTCTCACTCATCCTCCAGCAGAAAAAGTAATCTGTTAGAAACAAAATTAAAAATTATTTTTAAAAAAAATTTAATAACTTTCAGTATATTGGAAAGAAAATATTCTTCCTGCTGCTGAGCTTGTCAGAATGTCACTTTGACATCTTACAGAATTATTTCTTCTCTGAGTCTAGCAGAATGATAAAAAGACATAGCTTCCTAAAGGCAAAATCTGTGATATTTACCTGAGGCATCTTGGACTCCAAAGTGAGCAAAAATACTGAGACACAGTCCCTGTTTGCCACCTCTGACAGGTAGGACAAGGTCAAGTGTCATTTCTTGACTACAGAGACTGAAGACAGAGAATCTTCTTGATATATTTTTAATATTGATTGAAATAATCATAAGTAAAATTCCATAGTGCCTTGCCGCTGATATACTTTGCAGACAGCCTGCTAACTCTAGGTAAAGATATGACACGTGTATTTCTTAACAGAAATGTATTTTTACATGTGAATATAGATGTCAGTCAAGAATAAATTCTTCAGGATACATTCAAACAAGGTAGGAATGATTGCATAATAAAATACAATAGGACACTGATGATCTCAATTTATGTGGTCATGCAGAATAAAAATGCCTACATATCTATAGCAACAATTTAATGAACATGGAAATTGTACAGTACAATATAACTGGAGAATACATTAGTATTTTACTTTAAAAATTAGTACATTACTGAAATCTATATAAACTTCCATTGATAAAAGATCTGCCTGTGCTAGATTTCAATACTGAGTAATTTCTTTTTTCTAAAGTTAAGATTATATACCCAAATACCCCAGCAGTATTAATACACAACCATGATTTATATCAGGTATTGAGTAATAAATCCAACAAGTAAGTTCACCCTCTTGTTACTTTAGTATTTCACTACAAAGCAGCAAAAGGACTAGACTATCACCTTAGTTTATCCTACTTTAGAAGCTTACTTGTCCAACTCACTTCATATGCAGTAATAAATTAATTAAACCTCAGACTTTTGATAAAGGACACAATCCCCAAAACAATGGAGGGAAAAACCCAGGAACACATTCAGACCCAAGCACACTTGTGTGAAATGATCTGTCTGGAAGAAGGAGATGGAATCAGCTACATGGATAGCAATAATTTCCATGAAGACCAGAAAAACAAGAAACAAAGCAGTTGGATCAAGGATGTAGAAGAGTGAATGTCGGTTACTGTTGCAGTCCCCCTCACTGCTGCTTTCATTCAAAGCTCTCCAATATGTTAGTCTGGAGCAAGCCCTACCTCCAGCATGACTAAAACCTCAGTGACTACCCAAGGGAAAGGTATGATCTCCAGTAAGCTTACTTCCTTCACATGAAAAAAATGTTAGTTGGGAGCAGATTTTTTTTTTTTTTTTTGCTTATGTTGTCCATATGTACATTTATAGTGCAGATTTGCACAAGATGTTGAAGAAATTTTTACCTCAGCAGAACTCAGTGTGCATACACAACTTGGCTGTCTCTTTAAAAGGCTGTCCTTGACACTAAAACATGCACGGGAAGGAACTTTGACAGAAAGTTACTAGAATGATAAAAAGACATCTTTCTTACTTAGATTGACAACTACCATTGAAAGGATGTCCCACAAATCAGCTGAGTTTCTCTAGGGAATCCTGGTAATTGCAGCTATCATGACCTCCTAAAACACACTGCTTTGTGCTAACTTATGTCATCTGTAAGAGGCCTTCTAGAGTAGTTCTTGAGGACTGATAAGCTTTGACAACTAAGTCTTTGAATTTGCATTATAAAGGGAAGAAAAAAGAAAAAAAATCAGGAGGTAAGAGCTTGGCAAACCCAGTATCATTGCAAGTCTTATAAGTGCAAACCCCGGAGTACCAGATGATTCCATTTTGAACTACAGTATTTTCTTCTCATTAGATGCTATGGAAAAAAAGGCAACTCCAGTAGTGCTTAGGAGAGGCTGGCCACCCATAGTGTAAATACTATCACAAAGAAAAGATTTCTCAGTGGTTCACCTCAACCTTACAGCCTCAGAAGGATCAAATGATCTGGGATCTCAAAAGAGGCTGAGGATAGAGAGGGACAAACAACAACCCTCTCTTCTCATAGTTACTAGAAACCTCATATAAGGGCAAAGTGTGCAAGCCATACAGCACTGATGATACTGACCTCCAAGCCTACTGCTACAAAAAGCTGTAGTACACTGATGACAAGTGTATTCTTGAGAATCAGCAGTATAACTTCTACATCTTACTGAGCAGAAAAGCTCTTCCCTACCTCAAGCATACTGTATTGTCCAAGAAGAAACTGACTTTTCAAGAGGTTTAAAAAAAAAAAACAAACACCCAAACAACAACAACAACAAAAAAAAAACCACAAAAAAAAAGAGCTCACTGACATTTCCTCTGGTGATCTTTCTTTGCTTAGTGTCTGAATATAGTTCCAACAGACTGTTTCTCTGGGATATGCTGCTCACTGTAGCACACAAAACAGGTGTAACTGTCCAAATGGCCCCTACAAGCAGAGCAGCTCTGGAAGTCTGGTGTAGGAGTCAAGGGAGTGGTAAATGCTGGAGGAGAAAAGTTCTCCAAGTGGATAGCAGAGAAACAGGAGGAAAACTTCAGGACAAGTTGAAAGAGATAAAAATAAAGGGCTATGATCTAGTAGCAAACAAATAACAACTGCCCAGTCTAATGATTAACAAGAACTGAAAGCACAGGATACAAAACATCCGTTATGGCAAAAGTAGTGGTAGGAGAGAGGATTGAGCAGACTTGTTTAAATACTCAGTAAGTAAAGGAAATCATAACTCTAATCTTCAGTCTTTTACCATATATACAGTCATGATGTAAGCATAAAATTCACAGATCAAATGGGTAAAATCTCAAAAAGAGCCTTTCTGAAAAAAACAGCCTACCAGCCAGACCCAAAAGCAGGCATAAGCTGGAAATGCTCTGTATAAAGGTTACACATATATTTTACATTTTTAGATACTGACCACCCTCTACCCATAAAAGTTCTAAGACTAAGTTTTTCCAAAGAATTTCAGGTGCCACAGAACAAAGGTTTCTGTAACATGTTTTTTACTAAATAAGTTTACTGTTCTAAAAGGTCAACACATTTTCCCAGTACTTGAGCAGTTTACTTCCCAGGCAAGACTGCCACAAATACACATTGCGGTAAATGCTTAATAGATACATATATTTTTTTAAATTATAAATCATTCTACCATTTATCTCTTCAGCCACACTTCAGATAGACACATCTAGCATTGAAGTAATAAAAGAGACAGAATTAAAAATCTAAGTGCATACTACTGCAGCAGCAACATTACCATTTTCCATCTGGGAAGCCAACGGTAAATTCATTAGTGAGCCTGATCTCTGGTCAGGAAATGACCATCCAGTTATCACACTTCATTTTAAATAAGTCAGCTTATTGTTCAGTTCCAAAATATTACCTGTATTGGCAGGTAAGGCTTTTGTTTTGTCAACAAGAGATATGGTTAAACTCACAGCCATGCTGTGGTATTTTCTAATTCACAGGTAGAGGTATTTTCTACCTCACAAATCTTTTTGTTCCAAACCTTTTGTTTGCATGTCATAACTCTGTTTGTGAGTTAATACAGGATGATCAAATTCAGGGCAAAGACTAGCCCTGACAATTTTAGAGAAAGTAACATGATTATTTCAAATCTGTCTTCTAAGCAAGTCTGTGATATGAAGAATTAACACTTTTCATGTAAGACATCATACAAAAAAGAAATTTCAATTTTGCAAGAATTTGATTCTTTGAAAGATTAAACTTTTCATACATAACTCATGATCACCAGCATAACATATATGTTCCAGAAAATTATGAATCACAAGGACTTTTCATAAGCACTGGACTGTAATGCATGCACTTTTCAATTTCAGAAAATTTGTAAATATATTTTAATGTAATTGAAATATAAATACACATACATAGAGAAAACATGCTCAAAAACATTTCAGTCTCAATTCAGAATGCTTTTTGAAATAAACCCCAAAACATTTCTATATCACAAAAGGAAATTCCTTACCGAAACAGCAGTTATCTTCAAAGAATCTACTGTAGAATGTGTGAAAAGGTACCACAAGACAGGTCCAATTTCTCCTGTAATAAATCCTTGTGCATGGCAAGAGAGAGTAGTGCAAACATTTTCAATTATCTTTGCTGCCAAATGGTTCACTACCCGGTCTTCCTATAGGAAGGAGAGGAGAGGAAAACTCATATGCAAACGTTTCTGATTTCTTTTTAAACTACTGCCTATGTCCATGTTTTATTCCATTTCTATTGTCTTAGTATGGTTTCTTAATTTTGATACTTGCCAAAGTAATTTCATAGGAAACCTCAACTTGTGACAAAGTTACGTCTTTAGATCCTACTTTCCCCCACTTTCTCTTCTATTGCAAAGACAATTTAATACAAAATCTTTCAGCTCCAAATGATCACCCTAAATTAAATGCAGTCACTAAAAAAGGAAAAGGTTTTGTTATGTTAGAGGTGTTTCATGATCAGTGCTTTATGAATGAATGCCTGTGTATCAAAACTCATAACTACAATAGGTGCTGAAGAGCAAGATTATGAGATATACAGTTATATTAGGAAAAATAAAATTAATTACATTAAACACGCTTTATTCAGAAAAGCCAACAACCCTGTGGGATAAAGAAAAAGCCTTCTTGCAAGTCAAGTTATTCCATAACTCCTTTCTCTTCCCCTTCTGAAACAGACAATCCTGACCAATGTTTAAGATACACCATTGGGTCCCATGCACTAGATCAATTCTTAACTTTCTGTAAGGGATTCTGAATCCTTCAAGTTTTTAATACTAATCAAATAATTTTATCTGCAAAATAATTTGTGGAAAGCCACTGTACATGTAGCTTTAATATCTACATCAGACTCTTCTTACTACAATGTCTCCATGGAATAAAAAACATCATGTCAGAATAATCATGAGCCATCAGCACATCGTGAACATCACATGGCAGCAGTTCTTTCTCAAGAAAACTGTTACTGACTCCAATGGAAGCCTAACTTAATATAGATCACTTAAAAGGAGAGTCTCTAGTTTTTCTCTCTTCTCCCCCTCACCACCTTTCTTTATTATCTCTCTTTTTTTTTTTTTTTTTTTTAACTCTGCTTTCACTTAAAAGCAGAGTCTTTACCTTAATAGAACTGAAAGATTCATTGTTGGTGTTTTTTTGGCTGTGCATTGCCTCACCTTATCTCAATCTTTAACTATGAATAAGTGAAGCGTTTCAACAATGTCTTAAATGGCTTTCTTGAGTTCAGCAAGAGTGAATTTTAATATAAGAAGGACAACCAATTTAATTTGTCAAGTCTACCTCATCGCCTGGCTTCACAAATAATTCATCATAATATCTAATTGATTTCTCTTTTAAATTAATCTCCACATTATCCTACTAACCTTTGGATTTCTGACATTTATCTCACAATCAGAACCACCAACAACTGCGAGCAATGATAATGAAACCTTTCAGAAAGCAGTACAAAAGCCTTCCAGAAGGGGAGAAGTTATACTTCATTAAAAATATATTCAATATCCACTCTTCCAATATCCACTGACTTAGGTATTCTAAAATACAGACACTGATGCAGAAATATTTGGAAACTCTAGTATAATGCTGTTAAAAAAAAAAAAGCTGTATTCATCATTTTCATGCTAATCCTTCCTGTTCTCCCAAAGAACTGCAGCTCTACTCAAAATACTTAAAAGAAATACTAAACATCTAAACCTGTTCCACTCTTTTATAAAACTCTACTGATTTCTGTGGTCTTCCTTCTGATTTACAGCCATGAAACCAAAGAGGATTTAGGCTTCACTGTTTTTACAGTTTTTATTACTGCAATATATTGTTATCATTTCGATCTATTAAAGACCTAAATACACAAATACACATACATGTTTACCAAAATTAAGTTACTCAAAACTTTATTTGTAAAAAATGATAATTTTAAATATTTTTCTGTGAATTATACTTCTGCATTTCAGCCTTTTTTTTTTTTTTTTTTTGTACAGTTAAGGTAAAAATACATGGATATATCAAACTGACTATATGCATTTAAAATCAAATCCGTAATTGAAATGTTAATAGTCAAGTTAAAACTCTCTTATATATGAAGTGATTACCAGGAATGCCAATTGGGGCTCCACTGCTACGTTAAGCAGGCAGAAACACTTAATAAATGCACTATAATCCAAATAATAAATCATAATCAAAGCATTATACAGCAGATAATAGTTATTATGAATGTTAACGAATTTCCAGATGCAATTACAGCTTTTCTTCACAAAATTTGGTCCTGAAGATGTGCTTTATTTCCTTTCAGCCACCACTGTGATGAGTTATGCCCTGTGCCAGACAGTCTTGGTACTTTGGCTAGAAAAAGGTCATGTATCGCCACAGTGCTCTAAAAGCTCAATGAGGCTGTCAGAGTAATTCCATTTGCTGCCACCTGAGATTGTCCATCTCAGCTCCTCTGGGATCTATCCCTGAGCACTGTCCAAGCAATATAACTTGTTCCATTTTCTACTTAATTAGCTCTCTGGAAGGGAAGCCTGACCTAAACTAATATTTGGCCTCTTAACTAAAGGAGTCATCCCGTCACATTACCAGGACATAAGCTACGTTAGTGAACTGAAACAGATCTTCAAGATACAAGTAAAGCAGTTCCATATAACAGTTAACCTCTGTCCATATCACAAACTGCGTAAATCTAAATCTATGAATAAAACTGTATCAAAAAGAAGCACATACTCTTCTTTCACTGCGTTTAGATTTCAACTAGTTTTATAAAATGCACTTAAAGATAAAGCTCTTAATTTTCAGTCATGTTGAACACCTGCAGATATATCTGTTTCCAGTTAAAGTCATGGATGCTTAGTGAAAATGAGCCCTGAGTGAGAAGCAAATACCAAAGAATAAGATGTAAACTGCTAAAAAAGAACTTCTTTTAATCAAGTCTTTCTATTCTAATTGTTAAAAAGAAAAAAAAATGCAAATCAAAGTTATCAAAGAATCTACTTTCATTTTCTTAAATAACTGAATCTACTGGATATTTTTATTGATTGTTAAAAACTTAACAGTGCACTAGAAGTTTTGGAGGCACTGAAGATACAGTCACTACACTAACCAACATGCTATCTAAAAATAGCATAATGTTGTTTAAGGTTAACATGAAATATTTCATGGTCTTTTCATTTTATACTGTATATAGATACATACACTTGAGTAAAAGCATAATACTCTCAAAAAAACACTGGAAAAGCTGAAAGATTGAGGAATTAACACTGTATTCCACATCATTATTCTAAATCAACCTCCATACACTTCTTCCTTTAATCTAAAAGGACAGAATAAAAAGAAACTACAAACATAAATTAATGAAGTAAAGTTGTATCATCCTAAGCATTCATGGTTATAGGAATTAAATCTTAATTTGGCAACAATTTGCAATATAAAGCCTTCACAGAGAAGAAGGAACATGTAGAAATAAAAATTTTAAATACCTTTTGTAGAAAAAAAAAATTAAAAATTGTCAGTAAACTATAGAATTGATAACTAAAGAAGAAATTAAAGTGATAATGTATATGATGCAGACCCATTACTTTTATACTATAGGCAATTCTGTCAGTAAACTAAAAACCTGATGTCTAAAGAATAAATTGAAGTGGTAATGTGTATGATTCAGACTATCACTTTTATACTATAAGGCAATTCTGTCAGTAAACTAGAAAACTGATACCTAAAGAAATAAAAGTGAGACTATAGATTATTCAGACTATCACTTTCATACTATAGGCTGTACTATGCTTTCTGAGAAAATAGTTATGATTTTATTCTCCTCTTCCAAATTCTCCTTTCTCCTCCAAATTCACTGGAGAGGAACTGCTCTGGCTAAGAATGTACATTACAAAACATACTGCCTTATATTGTATATTCACAATTATTTTTTAAAGTTATCTTTTATTATTAAAATTCCTCACCAGTTCAGAACCAAAACCCTCAGACTTATATCTTGCTCCCTCATAAAGAAAGAAGTCTATATGAAAGAGGGAAATGTGTACTATATAGCTTACTGGCAAGCTCTAATTTATTAAAAATCTTGCTTACACAGTACCTTGCACATCCAAGAGACAGAAAATTATCCTTTGTAATCTCATTCACTATTTCTGATTCAAATACATTCTCCAGGTGCCATGCTTTAAAATGAGAGGATTATGCACATTCTAAAAGCCATATACAGCTAATTAGCTATAGCTGTATATATATTAATTTATCCATACAAGTGTATTGCCTATATATTTTTTCCAGGTTCTATAAAGTTATTACTAAAATTGAATATAATTGTGTATCTTATATTTGTATGCCATTTGTAAGCA